GATTGTAGCTGAGCCAACTTTCGTGCTTGCAAGTTACATTATGCTTTAGATGCTGGTAACATACAGAAACAAAATGGAATTTCTTGGCTTGAAGTTCCTCAACAATTGCTCCAAAAGGAAGATAACAGTCATTGTTTGACATAGCTACTTGTATGGCTTGAACGCAATTTGATTCAATGGTGACATTGCTGTGTCCAAATTCTGTGTCCATCCCCAATGCAAAATCAAGAGCCATAACCTCAGCTTGAAGAATTGATCCTTGAAACCTACAAGTTCTTTGCACAACTCCTATAACGTTGCTATCACAGTTACTTTGGGCAACTTCAAACTTGGCTATGCCTTGCCCTTGTCATATTGCTGCATCAGAATTGATCTTAATGGAATCTCCTTGAGGAGGTTGCCATTATACCATAGGTTGCACATTCCTTGTCTGTAATCTGGTGTCCGTCCTCGCCAATGCTTCTACATTCAACAATGTTTTCAAGGATTCTTTTTATATTCTAATCCTCCACATTGATCTTTAGTTATTGTAAAATGTCATGAACTACTCTTCTTGATGACCAGACTAGATCCAGCTCCCCAATATATGATGCTTCTTAAATTGGATATGTCTCACTGAAGCAGTTCTCGACGGCCTGGCTTCCATTCCCAGCTCTTGAGAGATGCAGCTATAATCATCATCTTCTTAATTTCGTGATTTGGGATGTTTGTTTCTTAATAGAAAACAACAAGTGAAACATACCACACATCTGTTGGGGACATAGTCATGAAGAAGACCCTCTGAACTAGAAGATCAATGTTGGATTCTAACTAATTTGCCAGGTTTCCATATATGAAAACCCAAAAACCTGAAACCTGGGAAGAAAGTCAACACAATCTGTTGGATTCCAGAATGAATGCTCAAATTATAAACTTGCTCTTGCAGCACCTTGCAGCACAAAAATCAGAACAATTTCTACATTAAAAAAAAATGAAAAAGGAAAAACAGAAAAATTTGGATGGAATTAGAAGCCATAGATGGAAAATTGGATACTTACCTAGCATCAATCTTAGGCTGACATAGCTCCCAAACATCCTCACATCAACCCTTTAGCTCTTGTCATTTTTGGCTTTGGCATCAAGGTTCACCAACCGCCTCAAGACAATATGATTTTTTGCATGGTTTTAACTAGACTCCACAATGAAGGGCTCCCAATAGTACTTAGTTGATGCATTAAACTCCTAAAACACATTTCAAAAGCTCAAAATGCTGGGATCAAGTGTCTAACACAGATACTTGAATAGTAAAGAATTTGAGTAACATAGGAAAGCAGGATAGGCAGAAAATTTATGGTACCTCAGCATTGAAGATTGTCATGGGAGTAATTCCATGAAAGGATTTTCTTTCTCCTCAAGAATCATGGATGCACCAAACAAGACATGGCCTCAAATTGGTTCTCTGCACTGAATCTATGAACATCAATCTTTTGCTAGTCAAGATGTCCACCAGCTTCAGTGGATCAAAACTAAGACACAAAAAAGACAATTCAAATGCCTTGAAACCATAAGAAACCAAATGCACCCTTTACAACCCGTAGAAAAAGGGACCCCAATTTGAACAACAAAGATGACTGGGAATTATGTCCTTCTATATAGCACACATAATATGAAAAATTAAGTTACCTTTATCGTTGGCACGAATCGAGCTGTCACCTCCATCTTTCACATAGACCATATAAGATAGTGAATCAGGTCTCCCATTGTAGCTGAAGTAGAATTAGATTTAATACAGTGTTGAACCAAAAGAAAGAATGAGATCCAATGAAGAGGGATGGCTAGGAAGAAGAAGTAGAAACTTCATTCTGCCCAAATTAACTCTTTTAAGGAATGATGAGATATTGCCTTGCTTGGAATCCT